AATCGTACAGGACAGACACTCTGAGGACAAATAGATATACTGATAATAATATTTTGAAGCATTAACAACAGATCAGAACAGAACTGTGTCATAGTTTGACAGAATCTGAGTTAGGATGACGTCTATTGACAATGCGTTCTTAGTATTGTAAAAGCCCAGAGGCTACAAAGCTTCAATGTGCTAGTTGTATGCGTCTGCTCTTGTTTAATACCAGCTATTTCCCTGGCTTCACTCTTGTGATTACTTCTTATTTCGTGTTTCTAACTATGAAAATGACGAAGTTCCATACAACCGTTTGTCCCTGATTTTAACTCCTTAGAGGGAGAATTTTCAAAAGTCCTTTCTTAGTGGGTACTTACAACATAAAAAGCATCAGCTGCCAAGATGTCATGTTATAGCCCCAGCGGTTTAGGCTCTGCGTTGTGCCAAATGAGAGCAAACGCTCAACGTTGAGTATTCTTTTCTTTATTGAACTGAGACAACCATAAATACGATCATTACTATTATTATTCAATTCTACTTAAAACAAGTTAAAATCTTCCGTTAAAGATTGTTACGGAAATGGCAAAGATCAAACAAAAAGTAATATTCATTTTATAATTCAACGAATAAATATGAATAATTTTAAAGTATTTCAGTATTTCCTTAAACTACAGCGTTGTTTGAAAAAAAAAAACAATTTAGAAAAAATCGTTACTATCCGCTTGGAGACATCCATCCATATTAAGACATCATTAAAAAAGTACAAATTATTAATGTGATTATTCTGACTGTTCTGCATAAGTTCTATAGTATTTCATATAATGGCATTTACTTTTTTTAAATTCAATAAAATTATGTGGAAGAAAACGTGTTCATGTAGGCGTTCTCCGATATTGTTTATGTTGTTTAAAAACCAAAATGTGTTAATTTACAGAAATAAGGCATTTTTATTAAAAAGACAATTTTTTTCATCGGCGCTATAATGTTAATAGTAAAATTGAACTAAGGACTAAGAGGGCGAATCTACTACATACGTGAGCGTTTTCTTGCCTCGTCTATATATGTGAGACAGTGACAAAACCACCAAAGGCAAAGAAGAGAAAGGTTTTATGATTTCCCTTCATCCTATTTGCCAATGATTTTTCTATAACTTTTTAATTCAGGTTGCTATTAAGAGTAAATTTAATTAAATTATAAAATAATTAATACAACGCTATTCCGCTTCGCTGAATATGATGAAAGAAAGAAAGAAAATACGTTTATTAGTCACAACACAAACAAAACAAAAAAGAAATTACAGATATAACATATGGGGTCTACCAATAAGAACGTCCTGGTTTAAAAATTGAATAAAACACAAAATTTTTGATGAAAAATGCATCCAATTGATTTTTTTGATAGATAATTTTATGCCATTTATGTTTTAAATAATATATCGGCCAAATGACCGCCGCGGCTCTTTTTGCAGACGGTCACCCGCTCACGCCAATTTTCAATGACGCGGTGCACCATTTCGGCCGGTATGTCGGCTATGGCTCGTCGAATGTTGGTTTTAAGTTCACGAATTGTAGCTAGATTATTGCTGTACACTTTAGATTTAACGTAACCCCAAAGAAAATAGTCTAAAGGTGTTAAATCACACGATCTTGGTGGCCAACTGATCGGTCCATTTCTCGTAATTAACGACCCACCAAACTTTAAACGCAATAATTCCATGTTCACTCGAGTAATGTGTTGAAAATAAAGGTCGTCTGCATCAAAATCATCAATCATCATCATCATCGAGTTATAGCGCTCGCCATTCACAGTAACAGGGTTTCCTTCGTCACTTTCAAAGAAGTTTTGGACAATTTCCAAGCGTTGGTTTAAAGTGAAACGTGACGTAATAAAATGGCAAACCTTACTGAACACAAATGTCAAGAGACGTCAAAGATCCATCATCAAACATGGCCGCTATGAGATGTCAAAAGCAGGTCGTCCCTATTGGTAGACCCGATAGAAGAGAAAAAGAAAAGAAACAATTTGCTCAACTGAAGAATAGCACAAACAATAACAAAAACAAACAAGTACAAAAGAATAAAATGATCACTGTGTGTGACAGAAGGGCCACAACTCAGCCTATGCTATTGTCCCTAAAAGTGACTACAGCCCTGATTTTCAGCTGAAGCCCAAAGGTACTATCTTTCAAAGTCCAATTTCTTCAATTCGTCAAATCGAATCGTATAAGATTAAACTCTGGTTTTATTTGTAACAACCACTGAAGATTTCGACTAACAACCGGGGTCCAATATCAGATTTACTCCAAGGTGGCGAATTAAAGTATTGTCAACCAAGATACATATACATACATTTACTCACTTAATTTCGATATGACCATTATAGTTAAAATTGATTTCTAATATTTATTTACATAGTTTACCTTATAAGTATAGTAATAATATAAAACATTTTAAAATACATATAATGTTGGGTGCAATGAAATTGTAGCTGTCCTTGTAATTTGTTTAAAATAAAATGATTTAAACATTTAAATAATTTTCTTATTAATTTTGGTTTTATTACCACTTCTTTTTTATTTATTTTTAACTTTTTATCTTCATATTTGTTACAACTCAGGCTGAAAGGAGACTTGTGTTGTGTTAGACCCATTTTTTATGAAACAAATACACACGTTCTTCATTTTACATAACACTCTAGATAAGACATTCCATAACTTGTTTGTCATGCAGACCAATTTCAATGTTTTACTTATTTGGGTTCCCCCTGTTTTCAATACTACGGCCGGACAAAAATGAATGTTTATGATTTTCGGTCATGTCGGTGTGGTAACGGATTCAGAATACTTAGTGTCACCACCCCTATTCATCCTGTGGGTGTAGTAAGAGCCGACTAATGGAGCAAACTATGTAGGACAATAGCACTGCCTATATCCAGCAGTGGAGTATTAAAGGACATCGATGATGATGATGATGAAACTAAAGACACATTAGAGTTGGCGTCTCCATACTTTACATACCGGTTGTCCTGGAGAGGCTTGGGGAGCCCTATGTCCAGCAGTTAGCGTCTTTCCACTTAAATTTAGCTGATAATGATGATTACATAACGCACTGTGCACTGTCGTTATGGGACGTATTATTAAATCTAAGGAAAAATTTATAAAAATCATATTTCTGTATGTGAGCTATCCGTTAATCAAATAAAGTTAAAATTAAATTTATGACCTCTCAATACAATTATCTAACATTGGGAACCTTTAATATGACGGGCCTATTGGTCTAGTGGTTAGTGACCCTGACTGCTAAACCAGAGGTCGTGGGTTCGATTCCCACCCAGGACAAATATTGTGTGATGAGCATGTGTGAGATATATTATTATATTATATATATCTTAAGAACGTCCAAATATGTTTTTGCTGATATGGATCCCTCGTAAATCACCTTTGACCCTGACTTCAGGTAGCAATGGCGCTGGATATCCTTAAAACTTCAGTTTTTATCAGAATGAAATGTCTTGAAATAGAATGAAGATGTTTTTGATAACTTTATAAAATTTAAATCTATTTATATTAAAAAACACCTGAGGTAACGTTTAAGATAGGGTGTGGACTTACGTCTGTGGTATACTGGATGCAGTTCGAACCCAAACCCTCTCAAGCGTAAGTCTGACACTAGGAGTACTACACTTTCTCTGCTTTGGAAAAACCGCTTAATACATACTTTTAATTATACGCTCGTATGTTAACTTAGTTTAAGATACTTAAGTAGGTTTAAATTACTTTATTAATTTGCTACTATCTCTTTTCAACAATAATGCTGATATAATGACAAATATACTTAAGGTTTGACAAGTACCGGTGGTTAATGTTTTTATAAGTAATAGCTATAAAAAATATTTTTCCGACTTTATCTTTATTATGTCTCTGAAACATGATGATTTTAAGGCACACTCAATTCTTAATATGTCAAAAACTTATTTCGAGAATCTAGAAGTCTGATTTGGAAACAATTGAGGGGTTATAGAAGCAGTTGGTGTACAGAAGGTACAGACAGGGTGTCGAACCCAAAAGTACTTCGTCATAACTCCGACGATTTAGAATTTTCGTTGCGGCCGGTCGGTCGTTTTCGGGCGGCCGACCATTAAACATAGATAAGATAATAGTCATTACCTAATCTTGAGGACCTAAAGTGTGTAAAGGGTGTGGCGACTCTCACATACAAAGATACAGAAAGATACTACAACGCCATCTAACGAAGACACACCGAACTACGGAGTAACTCCAGAATGAGTATTGCTAATCCTGAGTCGTGATATAAAGAACTCTCTCGTCGATTAGGCAAATGCCACACACAAAGAAACAGAAACATACTACAACGCCATCTAACGAAGAAACACTGAACTACGGCGTAATTCCTGAATGAGAATTGGTAATCTTAAATCGCGATATGAAGAATTCTCTCGTCCATTTGCATATTTACAACCTTCCAACATCAACCGCCAATGCAAACCAATGGACATGCCACCAATTCTTCTACAAGGGATATTTGTGTAATATTAGATCTGCCGTACAGAAAAAAAGGTAGTGTTATTAATTTTACAAATATTTTGAAAATTAAATTCTAAAAATCATAAAATATGGTTAATAATTCCAAGTAGGTTTAATAGCTGCGTTTACAATGATTGACGTAAACGATAAAAATCAATACCTTTTAAAAGAACAATGAAGATGATTTTACAGTGAAAATAATATCCGGTGAATTGTGACTTCGCCTTAAACACCCATGCGGTCGTCCTATGGCAGTGTGACGCTAGCCGCGTGGTCGGTGACTTTTACACAGAACAACACTGATAATAATGAGTGGTCTTGTTTTGATTGGCTGCGCGGAGGGCGTGCGCGCTCCCGCCTGCTGCTATATAATCATCAAGACCAAAATTGTTGTTACACTCCAACTTAAGCGTTGATCGTGACGCCTAACGCGAAATCTTGCCTGATAATAGGTATAGATACGCTCTATTAATAGTATTATTTAGTTTTACCGGTAAGTTGATATTTTAATTTAAAGTTTTTTTAGTTATTTTTTTTAGAAAATAAACAATATGACTAAGCAATATTATACAGAAACTTTTTTATTTATACTTGTTATAGTATCAAATATTCTAAACACACAGGCTGTTTATATTTAACATTTATTACCGTAGAATCTTGATGAAAAAGAAAATGTAACTGACATTAGAATATAATGATTGTTGAAAGATACCTACTTGTAACTTTTGCGATAACGACATAATTAGTTATATTTCATCTGCAATCAATAATGTATAAAATAGTTAGATATATATGTTTTAAGATCATGGGTCAACTATCATTATGCTTTAGACTAACGCGAAGGAAAATACAAAGTAAAGGAAATATTTAAGGTACATGACGTTAATTAATATAACATAATAGTACAACTTTAACGGAATGATTTATTGAAATAGTTGCTGTAATATTGAAGTTTTTCATTTGAACGTACTGCTGTTATATAATATTGTATTGTTTTAGACACAACAAATAAAATTAGAAATGGCTTATCTACAGTCGATGCCTAAATCTGAAACTATCAAACTCCGTGAGAAACATATTGGGTAAGTCCTTGAAGTAACATTTTTTCTGTATTTATCTATAAATTTTAATAAAAAAACTATGCAAAATACGAACGGTCTAGAAAAAAAGGGAAACTTTACCTATTATATTTTAGTATTCTATTTTTTTTCATAGATCGTTCATCTACTTCTGATTCTTCTTTTACCACTTCACTTTCTTGCAATTTTGTAAGATGGGAGACCGTCAATTTTCCTATGACCGCCCAAAAAATATGATCTGCAATGTCATAAGACACTGCAATTAATTCTGGCAGTCGCCAGAACTAATTGCAGTGTCTTATGACATTGCAGGAATAACAGTCATTATAAAGATCAATACTGTAATTCTCTTCAATTAAAATTGTATTTACTCTGTTAAACTACTCCGAAGTACATCAAGAATAATTTATTGTATATTTTGCAGCGGTGCTTGCCAATTGTTCTTCCGATCGTCTCCCTTGAAAATTGTTCGGGGAATCGCACAATTCATGTTTGACGAGACGGGTGACAGATATCTGGACTGTATCAACAATGTGGCACATGGTAAATATATTTTTATTTAGTACTGGTCATTCACTTGCTTATTATAAAAATAACTTTTCTCGCTTCCTTTCTAAAAAGTTGACTTTTGATTTAAAAGTACTTATTAATATTATTTTTTTGTTTTCAGTTGGTCACTGTCACCCACACGTGGTAGAAGCTGGCCGCAACCAAATGTCGTTAATATCGACTAACAATCGTTATCTTCATGACGAACTAGTGATCCTAGCTGAAAGGCTAGTCAAGACCTTACCAAAACCACTTTCAGTATGTTTCCTTGTCAATTCCGGCTCGGAAGCCAACGATCTTGCTCTAAGACTTGCCAGGATTCACACCAAGAACAAGGACGTTATTACCTTAGACCAGTGAGTATCTCATAAGATAGTAATCCATTACTCGTCCGAGTCATTATTAGGGTCTTACAAATTTGAAACAAAATAAGAGATTGAAATTGTTGGCATAAACTTATCGGGGTCCAAATCAAATTTATTATTCACCGGGTCAGATAAGGGTCAGTCTACGCTATTATTGATGCTATTTCTATCTTCGTATCTAGTAATTTGACATTTACGAAATGACTATCAATAAATAACGATGAACTAATTCGGTTATTGCATTTACCTATGAAGGAATTACCAAAATGTAATCACCGATATCGTACATGTTTGCAAGATATGTATAAAAAAGGTACATCATAACTTAAAGGCGTAAAGTGATCCTTAAATGATTAGAATGAATAAAAGGCGTGTTAAGGGATGGTTACCTGATAAGGTAAATATATACAATCGAATTAATTGTAATAACTACATTAATTTCAAAAACGGTTATAGTCAGTAAGTGTAAGTTTATTTAGGAAACTGTGTTTTTGCTGAATTAAAAACGAAAATGCTAATGAAAAATTAAGAAATAACAGATCAACAACAAATAATTCAACGTATTATACTAGCCACCTCAGCAACCATTTATAAACACGCCTTGAAGTAATTTTTCCAAGAGATCATTCTTATCTTGTCTATCATTCAGTAGATTTTTTCCCTATTCCTTGTGGCCAACAATATAAACGTAGGCTCTGTCGTTCGCTGTCGTTACTTCGCTCGTCGAAGTGTTACTAGGGTGCTTAGCGCCTGTTTGTTCCAGCGCGTATCATGGTCATCTTACTTCCATGATTGATGTGTCTCCCTACAAATTTAATCTACCCGGAGGCCCAGAGAAGCCAGATTGGGTTCATGTGGTAAGTTCAAACACATTGTCAGGACTGTACAAATTTCGTGGGAACCATTGGTTATTCTGTAAATATACACCATTATCTTATCGCGATGAATTTGGGCGTGTAATAATATTGATTTTAGGGATATGGATTTTTTAATGTATGTTGGAATGTTGTGTCCTTATGATTATATTGTATCACTTTAAGGTATGTAAATACCTTTATTCGCAAATTAAAATTGATGCATTAGTTGATTGGAATCATAAATTTTGTTAGAACTAGTTGTATTACTAATGGTACCTGATTCATTCCACATCATTAGATCTATAATCATTTACTTACTTTCTTGTTATAAAATCTACTAAATAAATGCAAACGTTTTTAAACCACAATTAAACTTAAGACTTGATTAAATTTCAATAACAACGATGGTCACTTTGATAATTATTAAAACACAATACAATATAGACCATGATTTAGATAGGTAGCACACACATGTATTTAGACGTTTGAATTATTTCTAATCGATTACCTCGTTTAACAGGCACCGGTTCCGGATGTGTACAGAGGAAAATACACATATCCCGATGATTCTCAGAGTGTAGAATTGTTGGGACAACTGTATGCTGATGAAGTCGGCGTGATCTGCAGAAAGAGTAAAAAGGAAAAAGGTGGAGTTTGTGCTTTCATTGCTGAAAGCCTGCAAAGTTGCGGTGGTCAAATTATCCCACCTGATGGATACCTCAAAAAAGTATACGAGTAAGTAACACAAATGTTTATAGCTATTATAATTAGATAATTTAAAAGAAGCCTTCACTTATTACCTCTAATAACAAACTACAGCTAAACTAACAACCAAATAATTTATTTGATACAACAATGAAGGTGAAAAATAAGGGAGTCTCTCTAAATCTAGTACCTAGTACAAAAATAAAAATGAAATTAAGAATAACAACTACCACTGAAAATTAGGTTCATTGGTTTTATAATATTTTTATAATATTATATATATTATTTCTGTTAAATTAAAAACCTGATACAGAATAAATAATGCAAACTCCGATTAAGAGTATAGATTAAAAACATCGCGAATAGTCGTGAAACAATCTCAGTCTCACAATGAAAGAAAAAAGTTGGAGTTAAATTTAATGTTTTTCATACATTGCTAAGAGTCATTCAACGTATTTCTGTGTTACCGCCGCTTACCATTATTTTATAGTACTAAACTTTAATCCATTGAGATAAGCCCTAAATAAGCTAGATCTTATTTTTATGAAGCCATAGAAATGTTCACTCATTTACTTCAAACGTTAAAGAACCTCACTGTACCTGTTACTTGTGCCTGTATAATTGCAAATATCAATAATATGTCAACACGGCCACATAATCAATCTTTGCCTGTTTATACAGTCTTCAGGACGGATGTTGATAGGGACGCTACGGAAAGTTTTCATTAAGAAGATAAATATATTCATTAATTTTGTAAGCGAGTCCATGTTTTGTCGGAGCGTTCACGAGGCCTTTTGTTGACACTGTTTTGTCGGTAGCTGTATATAATTGGATGTATATTGTATTGTAATAAACGTAACAAAAAGTCACACAATCTGTGATGTAATTTAAGAACTGTTGTAAAACAAAACTATCTTCAACACATGACAAAATTTCTATGATTATTTTTGGTATTTTTTATCTAGATTACAGTGGCACATAAAAAAAATGACTTAGAATCTAAAGTAAAAGAATATTATTTAGTTTCAGTTTTTGAGACGTTTAACCCAACGATAACTGGTGAATCGTAAATGCTATTTATGTACTAATTAACAAATAAATAATTTAACAAACAAACATTTAACCAATTAAATAGGATAATTACAAAATTACCTTCTAATAGATAATTATATCGTCTATTAATTGCTATAACAGTATTTGGCTTCATTGTAATTAATACGTCGAAAATAATCAGATGATGTGGAAGACATCGACTTTTGTGTTGAACCTTGGGCTTGGGCTCCTTACTGTCTTGCATTCCTAAACCACTTATTAAATTTGAACTTTGAGCCAGATCCTTAAAGTTTATTCATCTTCAATCAATTTCATTCAAGATATTTCAACTCAAATCTTTAACAAATTTATTTGACTCGTTCATTAGTTTCTAAGGTATTGTTAAATACAGGCTTAAACAATTTATATTCCTTTTTAACAGATACGTCCGCGAAGCTGACGGTGTTTGTATAGCCGATGAAGTCCAAGTTGGTTTTGGACGTGTGGGTACTCATATGTGGGCTTTCGAAACTCAGGATGTCATTCCCGATATCGTTACAATGGGCAAGCCTATGGGCAATGGACACCCGGTGGCAGCTGTTATTACTACCCCCGAGATTGCGAAGAGCTTCTGTGATACCGGAGTGGAATACTTTAACACCGTAAGTTATTTCAATATTATGTAGTACTATGATTTTCAGTTTATAGAGCCTTATAGCTAGGTAGTTGAAACATGAGGCTCCGAGAAATATGGATGCTATAAGTAGAAAATTATATATTTTTTAACATTCATTGTAGCTTCTGTAGCATATATCTGTCATTTTGAAGTAACTCATTCGCATTTTTTTCATCGCGTATAAAAAAAAACAAATGACCTTAATAGTTCAAGTAAACTCTTATAATATTCACTTACATACATGTCCTTGAACAAAAGTGATATATCATCGCCTATATTGTTCGTAATCTTTTTATTAGTCACCTTTTTATTAGTAAAAACCTTTCTCCAAACACATAGCAAAGATAGCATACTTATCATTCATGCACTCGTATCAATATTAACTAATGCCATGACTTTTAAGTCAGTGAAAGAAATAAGTATGTTTATCTGGTTGTAAAATGTTCTTTAAACAAAACGTACGTTGTGTGATATTGACATTGTAATTAATGTTGTACTAAACATAGGACGTTAGTGATAATTGAGCTGGCAATTTATTTTAATGTGTTTAATGGCCCGATAATACTTTAAAAATAGTTTAACATCAACATGTTTTCATCTTATCGTTACACGAATGGAAAAAAGAAATTCTTAATTCAAAACCATTTGCTTTCATTATTTTTTCTAACTACCTACGTGTTTTGATTTTTCTAGATTTGTTTAAAAAAATTTTTTATAAATCTATAATTACTTTATTATTTTCCAATAACCCTTTTCGTAAATAAATATTAGTAAGTTAATTAACAAAACTATCATACAACATACCAAAAATTATAATAATAAATTATTTTGATTCATGAAAAAATTACAGAAATTATTTTTGATGAAGGTACTAAAAAACTACTTTTTACTAAGCCGATTTTTATTCCACAATCAATTATTCTTACAGTATGGCGGTAATCCTGTATCCTGTGCGATCGCAAACGCTGTTCTCGACATCATCGAAGAAGAAAAATTGATGGAACGCGCTCACCGCGTCGGCAACCATTTGCTCAACCGTTGTGAAGAACTCAAGCATAAACACAGTTTGATCGGAGATGTACGTGGAAAAGGACTTTTTGTAGGAGTTGAGCTTGTGACTGACAGGAAAACAAGGACACCAGCAACAGCGGAAGCGAAGCACATTGTCAACAGGTAAGAAGAGATTTATTGTTCTAGTCAAAGTGTCATGAACTAACAGGGATGTAAAGGACACAGATTGAATCAATAATACGTCACGTGGGGTAGTTGGTGCTAAAATGCCCGAAGTCTCGTAACAGATAATAAAAATAAATTAGTTGATGAGATAAAACTGTTTTAGTTAGAGGGACCTGAAGTAAAGATCATATCTCAATCTTTGGTTAACTACATGTTTTGTACTATTATAGAAGCATTATAAGTTCCATGGACTATTTTAAGTACTTACCAATATTTCTACAAAAACGTAGGTTTCCAACAAAGAGGAAAAGCAAAGAAAACAGACCATCTCTCACTTTTTTTATAAACTTGTTCATAAAACTTCTTAGCATTATGTTTGGCTGGTACTAATACTTAAATTTCTTATTTCCAGAATGAGGGAAGAGAAGATTTTGATAAGTCGGGATGGTCCTGATAGTAATGTGTTAAAGTTCAAACCGCCAATGGTGTTTTCATCGCAAGATGCTGATAGGCTTGTTGATACCTTGGACAGAGTTTTAGATGAGCTTAAAGGCAATACAAGAACCGTCACTAATCTCAAGCTGGAGGTAATTCATCAGTTTTTGTTTATTATAATTTGAGAAAGTTGACCTTGCCTAAAAATGCATTATAACTGTTTGAAAGGATTTTGATGCTAAACTGCTAACTAAACTTTTGATGCTGATCTAAAACGAAAGTTCATCACATGATGATGGTGATGGAGTGTAATTTATTCCTACAGTACTAATCACTATAAACAATCGTTGCGGGCACTTTAGAAATATTTAAATCAATATTAAACACAAAGATGCTTGGTTTAAAAAAACGTCTTTTGTGGTCGAATGCCGTAGCCCGTAGCCTAAATAAATTTTATGTTGCCGAGTTTGAGTTGTTGAACAATGTCTAATAATTATTATTTGACAAGTTTGTGGGCTACTTATATCAAAGAAATAATAACTTTACTTTTCCAAACACGAGTTATAATGATCTCTTAATCTTTCAGGTCCGCGTCACACCGATTGATGACGCGAACGCCGAGGCAGTTTTAAAAACCAACATGACACAGTTGCTAAAAAGCTCATGATTCCAGTATTAGTATTAAATTTTAGCATTAAGTTTAAATAAAGTGTTAAGTTTGTAAATATAGGAAAATTTGATCTAATTAGCTGTAAGCTAACAATATTTTGATGTAATGTAATGTAACAGAAAATCAATGCAATATTATTAAGGAAAAAAAAGAGTATTAAACATTTCTTTTACAATTCATTTCACTTTTTTAATTTATTTTTTTACGTAGATCATTAATAATAATCATTACAAAAGTATTACTGACGTCAAGGCTCATGTAATATTAGTATTTGAAGCAGTATAACTCATGAAGTCATGAAAAATATAAGCGGTATCTATTTATATCCTCACTTTTTACACTTTGGGGGTGGAATACATCTTTTCAAATTTAAATGGCAGTGCCCGTTCAAATATTTAGTTTACCAACTCAATTTAAAAAAATGATTAAATTAGTTACTATGGACAAATATATCATTACTTTGTCCGCTTCAGAGACTTTAACTTTGGATGAGGTCTCGTTGTTTAAATGATTGATTTTTGTGACTATTAAACATCGTTTGACAACCAAATTGATTCCAATATTCATCATCAATTGCAGTTCACTAAATAGTGATTCTGGAGAGCAAACACATGAGTAACTGTAAAAGTATCTAAATCACTATAGGTTTGCCTACATTGAGTTTTAGAGTCTCCTGACTTAACATCCCTCGATTTCTCTATGATCTAGTCATCACAGCCCCACTACTGAATATTTATGTCATTATTGAGTAATTTATCCCTAAACACTACTATATTTCTCTCTTTTTTCAAGACCGGTGAAAATAAATAATGACATGAGTATCTTTATTCAAAGATTTAAACGTTTTCTTATAATTTACTTCTATTCAAAATTGAAACACTATAGGTTTTATTAAAACATACAACAATTTAGTTAATACCCATTGTAAAGGCAATTTTATTGTCTTTTTATATAATATGTAACAAATAAAAAAAGGAAATAAACATAAAACGAAATTCAGTTTATGCATAACACTACAGCGAAGTCTCGTAGTCACGGTTACGTAAATGAAAAAGGTAGGTACTTAAAAAAAACAATATACATCTCAGTAAATTTAGAAATAACCTCTTAAATGATGTTGATTTTTTTTCGCTGCACTGTTACGTTAGAAATATTTGAACAGCACGTTTATCTACATTTATTGTTATAAGTAACTAACTTGTATAAAATAATAAAAAAAGGAAATTGTTCTTGACACTATGTACATAAATTCATATCAATGAGAATACTTATGTATGTGTATAAGCGCAGGCAAATCTATGGTTATCGTTTTTGCTGAATTAACCAGCAGCTGTTGAAATACCTCAAAAATAATTATTATATTGAACCACATTCTAACAAATCTAGTGGCATTGTTAGGATTAGTTAGCCTGATTAGGACATAAACTCAGAAAAGAGAACGTAATTTAGCTCATCAGCGCACACCAATGATTGAGCTTCTTATTTAAACATGCATAGCACAGCTAGACAGCCTTTTTAAAAAGTGTTTTTTTAAAATACCTTCATGTAAAATAATGTAACTGATATGCTTTATTCTTTCACGTTGAAATATCTAGACTAAAACAAAGGCATACAGTGATATCAGTTATACAAAACATGATGTAATATAAGCCACATGTATGCATATATAAGTAATGTTAATATATACTTAAAACAGTTAAAAAAAAGTACTAAAAAAGTGGGGAAAATCACTTAAAGAGTTTTTGTTTTCTTCTTATCATAATCAACATTCCTATACAACGTGGTATAATTATCATCTGTTACTAGGACTCGTGGCTTAAAGCATGGCTTTAATAATCCCAGAAATTGCATCAGTGAATAATCATAAGATCCACGAGTATAGACACAATCCCTGAAGCTAGCAGTATGTGTTTCCTTACAATTGGCACATTTTGGTCTTTCTTCAGGTTTTTTCTGACATCTTTGCGTTAAATGATTTTCACCACACTTGACGCACTTTACTTGACCGTGACAGTAACGTTGTGAGTGACCCCACTTCTGGCAACGATAACACTGTTTTGGTTTATCTCTTGGAGGTTCTAGCACTACTTTATGCCCTAACAGTTGTTTAACTCGTAAAATGTGTTTGCCTTTTTCATCGTGGGGCACAACTGCAAGAACTAACATTGAATTGTCTCTTCTTACTTCTCCTGTCTTCATTTTATGCAGTCTTATAATAGGTATGGAATTTGACTTTAAAGTTTCTTTAATTTCATCCAAATCTAAGGCCTCTGGAAGCCCTCTGATGACCACTTTCATTTTCCTTTTAGTTGGGTTTCCAAACGTATGATAAGGTATTTGTTCCTTGTCAAAATATTGGGTCAAACGTTTATGGTCATTGAAAGTTTCACACATAATTCTAGTATAGACTTTACCACGATTTGGCTGATAGAACTTGATACCTTTGTTAAGTATTTTCTTAACATAATGTTCAAAGTCTACTGGTTGATGTAAAAATATAGGAGGAACTTTTAACCTAAGCTTTGGCCACTTAGAAAGCAGATTAGGTTCGATTTCGTCACTTAAAATTGTATCACCTTTTGGCATCGGTTGGGGTGAAATATTGCATTGTAAAAGTGCAGCAGTTATTGCAGCAGCAGCTGCTGCGTCATTTGTTTTTTTAAGATTTTTTTTATCTTTTCTTTCTTTCTTTTTGTCTTTCTTAGGCATAATGTCAGCTTCTGAAAACAGAATTTTAATTCTACTTCTAAATTCCATACTACCCTCATTTGAACAATTATCTATATGGCGTAATTTTATGTGTCAGTTACAATTATTATAATATTACAATTATTTATTAGAAATAGCACATTAAAAAATATTTAGTAAAGGTTAATAAATTAAAATTTAATAACTGTTATAACATTAAAAAGTAGTAACTTTATTTTCATTTTCTGTTTTCTTACGATTGTTATTTCTTAAATGGGTTCTTTCTAGGGAAATACATTTAAAACTATTACTTACGGAGAGTAAATATTCAAAATCCAATAAAATAATATTTTGTAAATTAAAAAATTAAAGTCTGATACGAATTAAACTACCTTGTGAACTAAAACCACTGTCGTGCTTAATCGACTTTTTAACGAACGTCATCACTCGTTACACGAATCAGTTGGTAACAAGCAAGCGTCAGTGCGTGTAACTTTAAACTGAGCGTATTCTTAAATACTTAATTAACATTTACAAATTACCGATATATTTAAGGAGGTGAATTGAAAGTTCAGGCGTCAATGCTAATGGCCTTAATTCTGTTAATTTAATTCTTTACTTCATTACCCTTATAAATAAGTTACACATGACACACAATTACACACATATTTGGAAAATGTTTCTTCCTTCTTTTAAACCTTCTTTAGAACTATCAATCGTATTTTAGTTTGAATCTCGACTTATTTCGTCATCTCTTTGAAATTAGGCAGCTGGACGGGAGGCAACAAACTCTTCAAAGGCATTTTGTACTGCCTCTCGGGAATTGAATTTTTTACCCACTAAAAAGTTGTCTAAATTTTGGAAAAAGTAATAGTCGGTAGGTGCAAGGTCTAGTGAGTATGGCGGATGAGGGAGAGCTTCCAACCCCAGCTCTTGCAGCTTGGAGAGTGTCTGTTGCACAGTATGGGGTCGCGCGTTGTCGTGAAGGAGCAGTGGGGACGACCGATTGACCAAAGCTGGTTGCTTGGTACTCACCAGACCTTGCACCTACCGACTATTACTTTTTCCAAAATTTAGACAACTTTTTAGTGGGTAAAAAATTCAATTCCCCAGAGGCAGTACAAATGCCTTTGAAGAGTTTGTTGCCTCCCGTCCAGCTGATTTTTACAAGAAGGGCAACAATAAACCGCCAATGCGTTGACAAAGATGCGTCGATTGCATGGGTGATTACTTCGAATAACAGAAGTAAAAAAGTTTGAAAAAATAAGTACTTTCACTTATTGCATACAAAACGGCAATTTCATAGGTAAAGACCTATTATTTAGGGATTTAAAAAGAATCTTTGGCTCCGTGTGGTATTTTTTCACAAGTTATCTTCCTTACTTTCCTTTATTTTTTTTATCTTCCTTACAGGCTTTCGAGCCATTATCAGTTGCCAATCAATGTTGTCGCAAAAGTAACACCTACGTGACAAATACGACCATAATAAAGTTTGGAGTATAGTCAATGTCTAAATTTAAATTTCTAAATTTAAATCTGGTTACGGAAATACATAACCAATATTATTACAGTATTGATATCTTGGTGTGGTGATAAATATACGTATATTCCGGCGTCAAATGCTTATTTCCGATTGCAGAGCGCTTGCGAATGACAAATCATGTATACGAATCAAACTCACATTTATTTTACAAGCGAAAGAAAACATAAATCACAAAATGTTCCGCTCCACATAATGTCAATGCAGTGTAGCTTCCCGACAAAGAAATCTGTCCTTTTCTGTCTTTATCATTGAGCCATTTATTGAGCAAACCGACTTTACTGGAGCTATAAAAAATATACAATAACTTTCAATGCGGTACAGTCTTCAGCATAAGTTTTTCGCTTACGGTACAAAATGATTCTTGTTCTGATTTTAGTATTATGTTTTGGTATTATACTTTAAAGTAATGTGTGGCATTAGTTCTTTCAAGGAAAAGTAAACTCAGATTAAAGGTAGCATATTCATTATATTACAAAATATAAGAATGAACAATATGACATTTAAAATTAAAATAAATAGATATATACTGTTGTATAGCCAACGATCTAACACATAATTTGATAAACGTACTTTAAAAAACACAAGGGTTATCTCTGTTGTGTCTTTTTGTACTTTATCGATAATCGGTCCACGATTATGTACCTGTCACCTGATGTAAAGCGACCACCTTCGCCTATGAACGCCTCCAACTCAGAAGTCACAAGCGCGTAATCGGCCTTTGAGGAAGGAGTACGCTCTTTTCTTGAAGGTATAAAGGTCGTATCGGTCCGGAAATACCGCATACTATAAACGGTCATCTTTTAAAGGCTATTAAGCAGAGTTAGAACTATAGCTACATAAATAAAAAAATACAGTGACAGGATCGAGAGTAAAGCGAAAGATGTCATTATAATTTTAAACATTACAACGAAATCAAATATGATTAATTAATCTATACTATTCACACACAGACACACATTCAAATACACAAACACACAGATGCTGAACATTAAACTTATAACAAAATTTGCGGGTGTTAAAATTTAGTCACCAAAATCTACTAGAAGACTAAGAAATGTTTTTACAAAAGATAATGTCTATTCTTATTTGATAGTATAAATTATTGATTTATACGATTGGCAATAGTAGGCTTAATGCAAATTTTGCCATTATTTTTTAAGTAGGTACCTCCAACAACATTAATATCATCCAGGCACTTAATACCACTCTTATTCATGTGTCTGTAAAGTATGTATGTGTTGTAGTATATTGTTTTACATTTATTTTCTATAACTGGCTCTAATGAATCGACTGCAATTCATTAAATGTTTTGTTTTTCAACTTAATTAACTTATTTGTAACCTAATTCGAGTTATTATTTCCATTTCTACCTGAAATAATGGTATAGCGAGCAATCGACGGAGGAAACAAATATCTGACGCCCAAGTGTGAGTTTATTTCACATCCACTTGATGGTCACGGTGACCGCGTTCGGCGCTGCGATTGGCCCGCATTGAAACCGTTACCAATCACAGGTGAGAAAACTCGCACTAAGCACGCCAAACGCGCTCGCTGTCGAGAGCACGTTGATGTAAAAGAAATAAATAAAAAAATTGCTGAATTTTCAGAATAAGGTCTTGGTTACATTTTGTGCTCGTATATGATTGATTGTCATTGTCATCTTATTGTCATTGGTTTCTTAAATAAAGTTTCTTACTACAACATAAAACTATATAGTATATGACCATTCTAAAACGTGCAAGAGTGAATAAAAAAAAGGTAAAACTTTTGAAAACGGCCTGAGCTAGGTGTGAGACCTGTGTTTCAGGTCAAGTCGCTTGACTATGATGTTAGTTACAAGATGAAAATAAACTTACACTAGGCCCTCTGATGGTAAGTAAGTTCCGCCGCCCATAACAGTCTGCAACTAAAGACTTACAAGTGCGTTGAAGTGCAAAGAAAAAATTGAAGAGATTTTTAACACCGTTATTTTGTAAGATCGTAGTATCACCCCGGTCGAACTGGCCTATATACGAGTAGATAGAAAGAAAATAGTTTTCATTGCATTTACTTCGTTACAATGATCGGTCAACACAATATAACGTGCGTGAGAACTGAGGGACCATACTGGTATTTTGTAAAATAAAAGTCATATTATTTAATAGTAGACTTGAAACAACATTTGGGTATTTTCACGCTTTAACCAACTCTAGACAACAATTTGAAGTCTTGTATTTCTAGTTTCAGATTCCTACGAAATAATAGTGTTTAAAGAATTCTTTGCGTATGGTAATTGTACTGCCTACGTTTAGATAATTCCGCACACAGAACAGTAATATGTTTCTAGCATAAGCAAGTGATTCACGAAGCTTTCCGCTAAATTGCCGTTCCTTATTTTTTATTTTATTGCTAAGAATAAGAATAAATAATATTATCACTGATATTATACAAAGAACCCATAAACGTATTCTTTATGTTTGGTTCAATATTTTTTATGTTACACCCAGGAGTAAGACGCAGCCGGCCTTAGCACGTGCGCAAACTTGCCACCGACCGTTACATCCATCTTGTCTACCTTTATGTGTTTTGTGCAAGCTTTTCTTATACGGTTGCTTTAAAATTCAATTCTTAAAGTCCCCTAGCCATTGAATAAAAAATGGTTGTGCTCGTTGTGGCTGTTACGACTTAACGTAATTCTACGTCCGGGTACCGTCTTTAGACAATGAAGGCATTCAACGTCTGGACAATGCGAAGAGGATCCCGTGCTACAGCGATTAGCCGGATTTATTTAACGGTTTTGATCTTAAGGATGACCTCGCAGATATCGAGGCGTAAAGAGTCTCCGTATATTTTAACGGACGAAGGGTTAGGGTGATTATGGGTGAAGTTTTTGTGATTGTGAGATGTTTATGTCTTTTAAAATTTATCGAAGCATTCCGGTAGCTTTATATTGAACAAGTTTGAGTTGTTTCATGGATGTATTATGAAGTCTTGAGCGAAATGTATCATGATTCATGATATTATAAATATTTTTTTACCTTTTATTTTATGTTTTATTTATAATGCGGACTTAATTCATTTACATGCTGCTGTTTCTGTTTACGATACAACTGACATACTGTCCGTTACATGTAAAGACAAACCTTGCGATTGTCAACGATTGCAAGGACACAAGCATTATAATTACATATTTTCTTCTTCCAGCCTCATGAGACATTTTGCTTCCTGTGTTGTATCAGTTGGTTTGTGTTATTGCACTACACCTTACCGGCAATAGGTTTGGCAATGCGTTCATGACAATCATCTTTGATAGCGTTTTTATGGTGATAGAAATATTAAATGTATTGGAAATAATGGCGTTTTGTCTGTTATCCTCGAGAAAAGTTGATGTTGGCGCTCTTTTACTTAACAGTTCAGAACAGTAAGGATATTTTTGGAAGGGAAAACCTACCTATAAATATAGACTTTCTTTTTACACAAATGTGTCTATTTTTTCGAA